ACAATATTTAACCTTCCATTGTCCTCGTACGAGGCGAACATTCAATTAAAATTTTATTTTTTAATTATATAACTTAACAATTGGTTTTGAAATTTTCTGACTTTTTATTTACAATCTTTTAAATTATATTTTTATGGCCACGTTTTCTTAATTTCATTAGTATAACTTTTTTTTACTAATAGACATTAACTTTCCATTGCTTTCGCGTTGAAATCTTATTTTCTGATTATATAAAAGATTTAACAGTTTTGGTTTCGAAATTTTCTGACATTTTATTTATAACTTTTTGGATTACTTGTATATAATCGTCATTTTCTTAATTTTGTTAATATAACTTTTGTTAATAAACTTTGGAAGTTAGCGTACGCTTTGGATGTTAACACACACTCGTAGCGCTCATAGCTCATAAAGTAAAGTATGTGAAGTTAACGCGACTTACGCTGTTACCAAATTTAGGCTCTGTTCTAATAGATCAATAATAGCTTATACAACATCACGTCTAAAATATAAGACGTCTCTAAGATATCTTGTGTCCCAGATTTCAGACGTTATGTTGTGTGGAAAATCCATGTCTTAATATTGTTGCGTCCGCGCTTTCGGGGCGGATCGATTTATATCGAAAGTCCTGGTGTTGACGAGACGATGACATTCGGGACAACCGCTGCGTTCCCCGTGACGACAAGTCAATGAAGAAAAACGAGAGAGTTGCACACGTATTACTGGGCCGAGCTGACGTGAGGTGAATCGGAGCACGAGATTACAAGATTGCAACTGACAGCGCGAGAGCGTTTGTAAAATATAGTAGTCTATTAAACGTTTAATTTCTCTAAACACGTTTCTTATTTATTGCCTGGACGTGCACGCGAGTAAGTAAACGTTACTCGTTTAAGTATCTACTCGTTTTTATGAAGCTGTATTAATAAAGTAATAATTAAACTTTTATTTAAATTTAATTAATAGTAGACTCGATGCGCGCGCGCGCGCGCTTTGTTCATACGAAAGCACTAATATTCGTCAGTCGAACGAGAGCAATTAAACTTCATTTTATATCTATAAAATTTCCATTAGTTTGTGGTAATTCAGATTTAAAAATCGATGAATAAAATGTGTAAAAAATAATCCACCACTCTCTTAAAGTGAATCAGTGAATAGTCACTGATATCAGTTATAATTATAGCACTGCCCTTATAGAAATATCATACTAAGAATCATTGATAATTACTTATCCAGTATTTTTAATACTGAAAATAAGTAATTATCAATGATTCTTAATATGATATTTCTATAAGAGTGAACAGTTTCAGTGCTATACTTATAACTGCAAATCAGTGTATATTCACTGCTTTCAATGATGTTTCACTGATTTATTTTAAGAGAGCAGATTATGGAGCTAATAGTTTATGAAATTGGTTTAACATAAGCTCAAATGAAAAGCTACATATACACGCACACGTGTTAGTCTTAAAATATCCTGGGAGAATCCTGAATGCAAGGAAATGTCTGGATCGTATCGTTCAGTGGAATCCTTTTATTTTCCGTTCGAAGGCACCCCCTGAAAATCGCTGAAAACCCTCGGGTCTCGCACTGACACCATCGCGCTATGCTCGTGAGAATCTGCTTTGCGTGTGTCGGCAGAGGAAGCGCCGAAACTCTCGGAAAAGTTTCTGTATTTCTTCGCAACTTTTCTTACCGGTTACGGCACGGGTCGGTGGCTTTTGGCGTTCCGCGAGCACGGAAATAGACGAATCCTCTCGTTCGGTCCTTCCGTTTCGGAATCGCGGTAAAGTTGGTCAGGTACTGTACGAAGCACTTCGGGACGCGCTAGACTCCGACATAGTGCGCCGGGTGGGTTCAGAGTTATCGAGATAAGCTCCTATTCCGATGAGTATATTTTTCCAAAAGTAAGTCGCTCGGGAGGCATTTTAAGGCAACGCATAAAATTTGTGAACCGTGAAAGCAAATCTCATCTATGCGGAGCGGCACATGCCGCTACTTTGTTATCTCAAGTCACCGAGCGATGATCTTCATGATTTCCCCCTTATAACAGTGATATGGACATTCGTGACAAACCGTTCTTTTTGATTTACCTCTCGATTTACCTCTACAGAGTGTAATGGAATCTTTAATGCAACGGAGAGGGAGGAAAGTCTCTCGTGCAACAAAATAAAGCAAAAATATGTAATGTAACTTTGTTACACAAAACAATTCTGGAAAATATTGGACTCACAATATTCAGGATTTGATAAAACTGTTTTGAACTTAAATTCTTCTTTGAGCTTAAATGTCACGTACTTTGTAGATTAATCTTGGGACACGAGGATCAAGACAACTACAAGAATAACGAATAAAAAGGGAAAAAATCCTTCCCTTATTTGAAAATAATAGAGCAAAGTTATAATAAACTACGAGGCTAAATATCCCATATTTCAGAATTTTAAAGTTACAACTTATTAGACAATTAATTGCTGTAACTGACTATATAAACATATAAACATATACATGATTACATAAACGTGACTATATAAGCATATACTGATTATACAAACAATATATGATAGAAGCAGTCTTCTTCTACGAGGTATGATTATAAAATAATTGGACTGATTTTTCCTGTGGCCTCAACAATAGCGAGTAGAATGAGTATTGGCCTGTGTTTTTCCCTCCATTTACCGTTACATTTCCACGCACGTATAGTTAATAATTCAGCAATAGTCTTTGTTTGAAGTGAATCGTGTATCTCAGCTCTGTCGAAATAATATTAAATATTATTATGAATCAACGTGTCACTGTGTGAAATCCTTCTTAAAAGTAGGAAAATCTGCTACAGAAACGTACAATTTGTTGATGGAAATGTATAGTTATGAAGTGCCAATCCATGCATAGTGTCTCAGGTTTACCAAGACAAAAGAAAACACAGATGAACAATTCCAAATTTAAAGTAATCGTGATCGTTTCTTTCGATATCCGAGGGATTGTTCACATTAATTGAGTACCTAGAGGTTAGATCGTGAACCAAATCTACTGTAAGGAAGTTTTGATAATTCTTCGTGAGCGGGTAAGAACAAGAAGACCTAAAATGTAGAAGAATGGCTGAAGTACAAGATCCCCGTGTTGGAATACAGTATCTATCTGACCTGGTGACTTTTTTTATTTCAAAATATCAAGTCTGCATTAAAAGGAACTCGTTTCGAGTCCCTAGATGCAGTTAAGGCAAAAGCGACGGAGTTCATGCTGTTAAAAGAGGACCTGCAATATTGTTTCCATCAGTGGAAGATTCGCATAGAGCGGTGCAGGGATCAACGAGGAAAGTTTATTGAAGACGGTAACATTTCCATTGTGCAATTTATCGAGTCAAAAATTTTGGAACATCAATTTGGATATTTTGTAGTCACATATATGTTAATGTTACTACGATCCTGTATTGACTGTATATTTTGTCTTGTAATAATTAAAAGACAAATATGCAGCATAACATGACTATCTTGTCTGATGCTGAGTTTAGTTGTCCAGTGGCGCAAGGTAAAAAAAAGAAAGTCACATATAAAACATGTATTCTGATTAATAATTCCGAAGTCTCCGCGAGAGTTTCCACAGCTTTTCTGCTGGCTTTTAATTATGGGCCAATTTTAGCTCGTCCACTCGTATGCTCGATTTCAATAATTTAAATGAAATTTGCTTTTATTCTGGAACGGTGCATCATACACTTGAGCAAGGAATTTCATTCTAACTGACAAAATGTCGTTTTAATTTAATCAGTCAGGATGAAGAATATTAATACAAAATTTAGAGAAGCTCATAAATTTATTTTTCTGCTACTAAATCAATTTCTTTATTTTTTAATTGTAATATTATTTTGATTTTAATGAAATTCAGGGAAAAGTATCTATGTTCTGAAAAAACTATTTTGTGATTTTGTATACATCCACTATTCCTCTCAAAATAAATACTAAAGAAGTGCATGAACGACATATCCCTGAAACTATTTAGACTCGGTCTCAACTATTGGCAAAACTATGTGTAAAATATATAAAAAGGAATCGTTTCAGTTTATACAAGTTAGTGAAAATCCTCGAAATCAATAAAAATTGACTACATTAAATATAAATTAAAAAAGAAAGCAAGACCTTATAGGTCACAGATTATAGGTTCCAAGAAATTTGGAATCGTAGTACGTGTTAAAAGTTCCAGAACGTCTAATTATCTAAAATAAATATTGATTTATTTAAACGTTTCAAACGAAAGTAATGTTTAAAAAATATATCAGATATTGATACTTATTTGACTTTGAGATGACCTTGAGAAGTGTTATTAAGGTTAACATAAAATCTTAAATGGAATTTCCTATTTCTCTTAACATATTCTCCAAATTGAGAGACATAATTGAGATTCCGAAATACTGGTCGTAAACTTAAGTTGAATACTTGCTCATTTGAAAAGTCACTCTAACTCGAGTGACGACCGTCACTCCATTTGTCGAGCAAAAATTTACTCCACGAAACAAAGTAAAAATTTTCACTTCACGATACAGAGTGAAGAAATTCACTCTGTAAGAGAGAGAGAGAGAGAGAGAGAGAGAGAGAGAGAGAGAGAGAGAGAGAGAGAGTCATTCTAATTTGAGTGACCTGTCACTCTATTTTTCGTGTGAGATTTTCACTCCAAGAAATTTAGAGAATACTACTTTTGTTGAAACATTTTTTTTAAAGATCAATATTTTTTAAAATAATTAGCCGTTCTAAAACTTTTACTATGCATTATAATTCCAAACTTTTTGGAATCTATAATCTATGCGGTCTTGCTTTCTTTAATTTATATTTAATGCTGTCAACTTTTACAGATTTCAAAGATTTTCACTAACTTATTGTACAAGCCGAGACAACCTCTCGTAAATTGAATATATATTTTCTTGAATATGAAACCTTACATAATCGACAACGGGATACGCGGTATTTATTGGATACTCTGAGTATCGATTATCACCATTCTGAACTTTGTTTGCATAGGTGTCCTGGGTCAGGCACAGGGACATTCACATTCTAACGGCCGGGGCGTATACATACACGAGCGATCAGCGATTTCAAGCAATGCACAAACAAAATACGGGCCAAAATAGTGAATGGTCCGAGTGGACCCTCTGCATAAAGTGGGCGCAGGAGCGAGATCAGGGTATCTACGAATGTCAGATTTCCACTATACCCGTCAAGTCGCATCAGTTTCGCTTGAACGTCGTTGGTAAGTTACGTTTTACTTGCACGATCTAAGATCGTATTAATAGTTACTATTCGAAACTTGTCCCAGATGAGATACTCACATTTGAATTTAGAGCTAGATGAAAGTTTTTCAGATAAATCGCGATTATAAATATAATTTCACGAATATTATATGATTTAAAAGCTTTAATACAACTTGAAATGCAGATCTGAGTATTTCATGTGAGACACAAATTTCGAGTAGGATATATTAACTCTAGAACTCTGAATATTAAACATTACATAAACTTTAAACATTTGGTCAGTTTCACTCACCAGTAAACCGACCCAAGTGTTACACTCCGATTTTGAATCTGAGTGCATTATTATAAAGCTCATTAAAACTCATAAAACTTTTATTTGAAAATTTTTTTTGTATTATTTACTGTCTCGATAATATCAAAATCGGGATGTAACACTTGAATAAGTTTACTTGTCAGTATATTTTCTTTTGCTCATAATTGTCGTAAAAATTAGCGAAATTTAATGTTTCATTTTTTATAAGTCTGGTAGAAATAATATTCTATATGAGAAATATGACTCTATTTATATTGTTGCGATTCAGTAAAATTGGGAAAGGTTATAATGAAAAACTAAAACACGTTTTACGAATAGTGACGTTTGAAAAGTTAGTTTGGATAACTGTTACCTTTGCTTAGAGTTCTAGGGTTAATCTTTTAAAACCTCGAACTTGTGTTCATGTGTGTGTAACATTTTTCTTCATAAAATAATCTTAAAAGACCTCCCGATGAGTTACCTCCGATGAAAAATGTTGTAGTCCAAACAAAATTGACCGTCAAGAAATACGATTTTCTGAATATACATTATTACATTCATATGTGCAAGAGTATTCCAGCTATACGAGAAGAATTTAATAAATCTTGTCATTATGATAATGGATATAAAATCGCCGATACTGTATTTTACAATATCATCGATAAAAAGTTGAGAAAATAAAATCTGTTTAATTTTATCGTGAAAAACTTTTCACAGTTCCGAGCATCAACGATTCTCCATACATATTGGACCACTATATTGGTTTCTTCAGCAAAAAAATCACTGTTTTACGAGTTGGAACAAAAACTATAGTTCTATCTAGAATGGATCGGTAGTATTAAATCGATGGAATATTATTACTTTGCCAATACAAAAAGTTTAGGGACTACCTAAAGTGGATGTGCAAAATTACGTACACTGAGCCTTCCTGAAAGGAATAATATACAACCTTAGATTAATGATTATTAACCTAATTAAGATAATGGTTGGTACTTGAAACTTGCCTCAGATGAGATCTTTAGATTTGAATTTAAAGTTAGATGTGATTTTGTCAGTTTAGTCGCGATTATAGATATAACATTATATATGATTCAAGTGAAAAACTCAAATCTAACTCTGAATTCAAATCTGAATATCTCATATGGAACAAGATTCAAGCAGCGGTTATTAATACAAGCCATAGTCTCTCTCACGTTGTCGCTTGCACGTCCTTCCCAAGGCCCAAGATACAAAACATCAAAGTACACGGATGCGTAAATTCTATATCTTAGGCTCTTAGCTTTTCCATATGCCTCAAAATAATATTCGAATCGTAAATGAATCGGACTATTATCCATCGACATAATTGTCTAACGAAGTAGCGGTATACTTAAAAAACATTCAACCACATTTAGATCGGGGCTGAATTCCAGAAAGAATAGCGTCAACGGCTCGTTGCACTCGCGATTTCAATTACGCTGACCCCGGTATTTGTTAAGAAGCTTCACCTCGTTACTTCTCACGGATCACGGGCGACTTTAAAGATTCGTTCTTTCGTTCCCCCTCGTTCACTAAGTACTATTCTCAAGGGGCTTTCACGCGAAGAGCTTTCACGACGCACGAATCTCTAGATTTATCCAGGCCACGCGAGTAGCGAGAGCGGCAGGGGGAGTTCGGTTAGTGGGAGTAAGGAGATGAACGGGGGGCGGGGAGGAGGGTGGAGAAGTGAGAGAAAAGCGAAAGAAAATTCTTCTTTATCGCAGTACCTACGGCGACGATACTGGGCGGGCCTGAGTTGTACGTCGGTGCAGGCAGCACGATAAACCTGACGTGCGCCATACACTTCAGCTCGGAGCCACCAGCCTACATCTTCTGGTACTACAATGAGAACGTCCTGAGCTACGACAGTCCCAGGGGCGGCATCTCGGTGATAACCGAGAAGAGTGACGACGTCACCACCTCTTGGCTCCTTATTCAGACGGCGCAGCCCTCGGACTCCGGGGAGTACAGCTGCAAACCCAGCAACGCCAATACGGCGTCCATCAGGGTTCATGTCCTAAATGGTGAGTCTTCGCTCCTGCGAGTGTACCAGCTCCACGCTTCGGCGACGTTTTACGAGCGATGCGAGGCCACGCGTTCCGAATTGGCGGAACCACACGGAATTTCGTACGTTGTTGCTCGGAGAACTTAACTCGAGATTTCCTAATTCATAAACTTATGCTCTTTCTCGGCATCCCTTAAGGGGAATAACGTTAACGTCCCTCTTGGGGAATATACGTTTCACGCCACTTGGTGTGAATAAAATGTTACACTAAAAAAAGTATGATCTTGCAGTTATGGCGAAAATTTTCTAAATACGTGAAACTAACTAAGGTGGATAAATGACCAGCAAATACTGCAATATCGCATATGTTTACTTAAGCAATATAGTTGACAGAGGGAGTATTTATATTTCTGAACTATTTGTCAAAAACAAGAAAGTCTCTCTGTGATGCTCACCCAGATTAAAGCCAGTCACGCTTTTTATAAAAGTGACTGTGTGGTAGATAAAAAGACTAGCGACGAGACACAGACGAATGTATGTGAATTCTTCCAACTTATCTAAATTTGCTTGCAGATATTGCTAGGATGCTGCTGCTATAAATTCTACGTGCCACAGATAATTTTCTAGCAGATTTTTTAGCACAAAAACAGTGTTAAATTTAATTGTGACAATTCTACTTAGATCAGCAAAACATTTTTTAACGTCAATTAAATTGTTTTTTGTATAGCGGAATGAATATGCTTAAATCTATATTTATTTTTCAAATACATTTTTCAAAATAACTTTGTTAGGCTTGTATTAAGCTTGTCACTTCTCTCTGAAACGTGTGTGTGTCTTAAGTAAAATAATCAGATTCTTATTCAAAGTTAGATTTAAGTTTTTCAATTGAATTATGTGATATACGCGACGTTTTATATCTATAATTGCGATTTAACTGAAAAACTGTCATCTAACTTTGAATTCAAGTCTAAATAGAAGAACTTCGGGTATTAAAGAATAGTCGAGTAAAATAAGAAATATCACGAATTTTAGCTTCTTAAATGTTGCGGCCAATCAGATAGCAGTGGAATTGTTAGTTACTTGATCTCTAAACTTTTGATTAAAAAGCAAGTTTAGCACGAATTCGTGTGTTGTGTATACATTCTGTTCTACGTTTTCTGTGTTTTGCAACTTTCATCAAGTAAATTTTTAAACTTCTATTTCATTATTTCACAGTTTGTTTCATAAATTCTTAATCGTTCTTTCTTGTAAAACATGTAAAACTAAATCGTAGCTTCAGTATAGTCTATCTTTCAAATATCAAACAACATACATTCCCATAATATACTATGAAAAGTAAAAATGGCAATGTCGGTATTAAGTAATGTTTGTGCCATACATATTTATGAGACATACTTTGTAACATTATTATAAGATGTATTATAACAGAATTTAGAAGTTTATAACAGATTATTAATTTACTTTTGCTTACAACATTGACAGAAAGAAAATGTAATTTTTGGATTTTTCTAAATTATTGGTTATCCCCTTTAGCTTTTAGTCTAAATATTTATATTATTTCCCTATCATTCATAAGAATATTCGATCACTGATATTTATTCAAGAATAATAAAAATTACTTTTTTCGTAAGATAATGAAGTATCACGTTTTACCCGGCCTATTTCTTAATATCCTTATAAAATCTGCCTTCAAAAAAATTAATATTACATTAATATTATCAGACTTGGGAAGTAACACATTACTTGTATGCCGTCACTATTATTTTTACTTTTTTTACTGTTACTGTTTTTTTAAAGTTACTATTTTTTTTAAAGTTACTGTTTTTTTTTTAAAGTTACTGTTATTTTTTTTCGATAACGATCCTTACTTTTTTCTGTTTGTAATCGTAACGGTAACGTCGTTATATTTGTACAATAATAATAACGAATTCAATCGTTATTTTTATCGTTATTTTTAATGAAGTTAATATTAGGTATGCTTAGTGTAGCTTACTTTTATAAGAAACATAAATGTTGTATACTTGTGCTAAGTACAATCAATATATTCTTCACTTAAATTCTATACTTATTGATTGTACTTTAGAGAATGTAGTCAGTTCATCTAAAAAAAACCATTCAAAACTGCAATAATCCTGACTTGGGGGACTAACATTTCTTTATGAGCTTGATTTCATCTTTTTATCTTTTATTATAGTTTACATAAAAATTATTGCCGGTACAGAACCAGATTTTGCAATTTAGCTTCTAATAATTTTTAATAAATTTAGTAATAAGTATGCTTATAATACACAACATTTATGTTTCATGGTTTTTTATAAAAGTAAGCTACGCTAAGCATAGCTAATATTAACTTCATGATTTAGTTAAATGTATAGCACTGCAATTAGTGAAATCTCGCTGAAAGAATCAGTTGATAACAGCGATTGTTCCTATTATTGATCCTTTTGCCAACACAAACAATAACATTGTATGGAAGCCTGTAATTCTATGACCACAAATATAGCAAGTTCGGTTTAGCACAACGTTTAATGAATATGTATTATGCAGATTTTGCTGTGAAACCTTACTTCTATTGGTTAAAATCAGTGAAATATCAGTAAAATAGGATAAAACAGTGAAATAGGAATGTTTCTACTGAAAATCAATGAATATTCACTGATTATCGATGAAATGCTTCTTTTACTAATTTGATCAGATATATTTTTATTGATTCACTTCAAGAGAGCAAATAATAATTTAAACTTAAAAACAATAATTTTATTTTAAAATTAATTACGTATTTTGTCTTAATATTATAAAACAAGACCGAAAAAGTAATGAACACACATACTTCTACCTTTTTGGTAACGATAACGAGTTACTTTTTAAAAGTAGTAACGAGTAATGGTACCGTTGTTTTTTACGAATGGTAACACGTTTTTGAGGTAACGTTCCCAACTCTAAATATTACTACAGATAAACAAAATTCGTGAAGAAGACTATAAAAAACCCTTAGCATTATAATTTATCAAATTTCAGTTTTCTTGAATAGTTTCCGATTTATCTTCTAAAAACCCGGTACTTCCTAATACCTCAAGTTCTTCACTTAAAACAAGTCTCATACACAATAACTATTAACGCGAATCTAAATAAACATTAGATGCGTTTAGATTCCAAGAGAACTTTCGAGATTTCGCATCTTTAATAAAGGCTTGCTGCGCTACGTGAAAACTGCACACGTAGGATTAAAACGGATGGATTAAGCATTTGCATTTTCACGCGCCTCAAGTTTCGCAGGATGCATTTGGGAGAGCGGAGCCAACGATATTCTGATATCGTTGAATAATCGTGACGGAAGAATTTCGCATTTTCGCTCTGCTGGCCGTTGCGCCTAACGACGAGGTGAATTTTTGCCGAAATATTCAAGCGATCAATAAACGATCAAGAGCTCCCGCTCTTGCATGTAATGTGAAATTAAGATAATTTTGCCGCGCCGTGCAACGGTACCACCAATATCACTTTGAGGCACGCGCGAGTTGAAGGCTCCGAAATTCCGAGATCGACCAACCATCCCGTAAGTTGCAATTTCCGCCCCACAAACTCCCAAAGCGCACGGCTGTCGTCGGCTCCTGGCTTTACAGCGTGCAAAATTATTTTATTGGTCGCCGCTATTCGTATCTTGCGCGGAGGGCCTGCTAACGTTAACTATTTACAGCCAGCTCGTAAACTCGACGCGTTTCGCGACCGCGCTCGTTAAAACTACACTGCGGCTCGATGTCGATGAAAAAAGTTTCGCGCGCGCCATTGGAACACACACACACACACACACACACACACACACACACACAGATAGCTCAGCAATCCGTGACTCCACTCGCAAGAGTCAGATTAAATGCCGCGTGATAATGACGTCGATTTGAAAATACACGGTGAACGCGCGCCTTTCGGAAGGCGGGAATATTTTCTCGCATTTTTCTCGCATTCTTATCGTGCTCGCCGCGAGCTCACGTTTGCACGTGTATTCCGAGACGCCCGGGGAGTATCGGCGTACATTCGCAGCTGTCCCTTCCCAGCTTTCGGAGCTTGCCGCTCTATCGACTCTTAGCAATTATGCAGTCGCGAAGTTGGTGCGCCAATATGTATATACGGGAACGCGCGCTCGCACGAACACGGATACGACGCGCCGGTTTCGCATAATAAGGCCCTTCGTCATCCGCGACGTACGAAGGAGCCGCGGAGTTGGTGAATGCTTCGATGACCTGGGACCGGCTTGAATAATTTATTAATGAAGCGCGTGCGGCAGACATTGAATTATGCTCGTTATACTAGGCTGTTTTTCGTGACACGACAACATCGCGCGAGTACGGAACAAATTGCTCCGTAATTCGTGGATGTTCCCGTAACGCGTTTATTGAGAACCTGTGGATTGTGAAACGGGACGCGAAAATAATCGAGATATATGTATAATCATGTACCGTCATGTACAACCGGTCATCATTTGTCAAATTTTATGAAAGAGAAATGATATTTTTTTACGAATAGCTTTGCATGTTGCTCTCAATGTGTCTTAACATGCAGAAAGGACATAAGTTTTATTAATCCCAGAACCCTAAACATGCATAAAATTTATTCTGACCAACTTTTTAAACATTATCGTTATAGAAAACATGTGTTTTGTTCCTTTTATTATAATTTTTTTTTCAAGTTTATTGAATTACCAAAATATTTCGTTTTAGTAATATATTTCATTTATTTACGAGAAATTGTATTCTTTGATATAAAAATAAAAGAAGAGCAGAGCGTAAGAAATTATTAGCGAGATCTGTTTTATCAGAGAGAGAGAGACAGAGAGAGAGAGAGAGAGAGAGAAAGAGAGACAGAGACAGAGAGATAGAGAAAGATATCTATTTTAAATCAAAGAAAAAAATAATTATAATATTTGATTCTCTCTTATATTTTTAAAATGTCAAAAGGGTACGTGTCAAGCAGTGTCTGAAAACACTGATTGACTTATCAAATATATTTATAGACTCATTCATCAGGTAATATGCAAATCTTATTGATTGAATTAAATCTTCCATACATTGTACATATTTGTTGTAACATAAATGCGTTGATATTTATTAATTTTTCTGGAAATTATAAGCAGAAAATCATGCACTTTGTAAAAATGTATGCATGTTTAGGGTTCACGTAACATTTTCATACTTAAAATTCTATACAGAGAGAACGGTCCCTTTGGATCTAATAGATTTTATTAAATTCAAATTAATTTATCTGTTGAAATATTCGTAGAAACGAACTCCTTTTTCTCATCTTATAAGTAGAACTTCATATTTTCTTTGAGAAATAAAGACTGACGAAAGAGAAATTATTACAGACACACGAGAGATTACATTACGTCTTTTAACCCTTTCAGGACCGGAGATATCTTTTGATACTTTACGGCCTTCATGCATGTATTTCAGAAACTATCGATCCGATATTCACAAAAATTGGTATGTAAGGGTTTCTTGGGGTGCTCTTTCCAAATTTGAAGTAAGAAATGTAAAATTCAAAGTGGCGGATCAAATATGGCGATTTTCAAGATGTCAAATTATGTAAATTGACTCAATTTCTGTGGAACTTCATACTCTCTAAATTTTAATTAGTGAAAATCTTGACTAATTTCCAGTTTCGCTCTTCTTGGAACTCATCAGTACTACACAAACTTTAGTTTACCCAGTAATCAAATTGAATCCCTATATGTAATCCCTATATGACTCATATATGGTACATATATAGATCATATATGAGCCATTTTCGCAAGGATGAGCAGATGTGATCAAATCGGGTCAGATCTAAAAATTTTTTTCCTTGGTCGGCATTTTGAATTTCAAATATTCGATTTCAGTTCTCAAAACAGTATCTTTAAAAAGTTTCATAGTTCAAATTTCATGGGAATTCAGTGATATTTATATTATTTATTATTTTTTCTGCCATATATATTGAATCCGCCATTGGATCACAGAATTTTAAAATTCTAAATTTAGGTTCGGATTAAACGACCCCAAAAACCCATAGAATACGTACTTCCCTATAATTATCTCCCCGAGCAACCCCCCGTCCTGAAAGGATTAATAATAACGGGCAGTAAGTTCATATGTAAGAGCGAATTTTCTATAAAAGAAATTCATGAAAGAAATTCAACATTGCGATATCTATTATTGCATATATCGTCGCTAGCATATAGGTCGCGACGAAGAGAATAACTCTACGCGCTCTTAAAATTTTACCATTGAAATCTCGACCCGTCCGTAGAATACGACACCTTAAAAGCTCGCAGAAATTTACAGCCAGCCGGTTGATACGGCTTGAACAGGGCGGAAATTACTCTTCGATTCGCACACGCATGCAGTAGTGCGCTCTCTCTTTCTCTCTCTGTTTCTGACTCTCTCTCTCTCTCTCCCTCCTCCTCTCTTTTTCTCTCTCTGGCTGGCGCGACCGATATTCCACGTCGAAAGAAATATATAGGTCCCACGATTTCGTGAAAACTTCGCCATTAGCCGCACCCCGGAATAATTCCTCGGAGTTCCCGTTACTACAATGCGTTAAAAACAATTTCGGAAAGTTCGTCTCCCCTCCACCCGCCGGCTGTTCCGGCGCGTCGTCGTCGGAAGGAATGTCTTTTCGAAATTTCCTGCGTTGCGATAAGAAATCCGCGGGTGGCGGACGAACGAACGCCGAGTCGAAACTTTCGCGTGGGTGCGAAACTTGGAGAATTTACGAGGGCCAGGTCGGAAAATTCCGCGGGCATTACAGATGGGAAAGCGAGGAGCGCGCGCGCGTCCGGAAATTGCGCTTCGATTCCTTTTACGAAGTGGCCGATATCCGATAGAACGTCGGATAGAGAAGAGGACGCGCCTAATACGCTCCCCGGTCCGCCGGAACTTTTACAATAGCGAAATCGTCGCGATCAACATTCCCAACATGACAATCACGCGGCGCGGCGCGGCCGGCCCGGCAAATTGTACCGCAACGCCTCGCCTCGCCTCGCCAGGCCGCCCCGACGAGATCATTTATCCGAATGTATCGTTCGCAGTTGACATTCGTTAAAAAGTTTGCGACGTGTTCCACGGCGCGAAACGAACGGGGCGCGAGCCCGCGATTCAATTAATTTCACCAGTCGTAACAGAGCAGAAACTTTTCTCGCGATACACGTCACTGGTATTTCAATAACTTTCCATCTGAAAATATCCAGCACGTGCTGCATAGTAAAGTCCTCGTTATCGGGATCACGTCTGGAAACCCGGCCACCTCCACTTTCTTCTCATTCTTCTTCTTCTTCTTCTTCTTGTGTTCTTCGCTTCCGTTACAGTTCGCGTAAAGTAGATTATATTCGCCGAATGAGACGTGATAGATTGATGGATGGTTTATTTATTCCTGGCGTAAGCCAGCCGAAAGAACTTCTTCTAATAATGGCTTCGCTGCGTAACAGAAGCAAGAGAGAGTGACGCGATCAAAATAGCCGGTTCTGTCTCGAGCCGGAGAAGCGACTACCGATACGTCACGACAAAAGACACAGCTGCGAGAGATTAGAGAAATATTTTACCTTGTAACATTCGCTTTTGTACGCGCGGCAGAGAGGACAGATGTGTCGAAATGAGATCGCGACAACTCACGCTACGAGAAAACATTGTACAAGCGGGATATCTTTGTGTTGCAGGCGAGCGACCGGAAGCAATGCAGACCGGGACCGCGGGGCCGATACTGTCCTCGAGCTGTCTTTTGGTGTCCCTGATCATTTTGTACATATCTTCGGTGTAATCGAAAACGAAAATACAGCGCCAACGGCCAGAGTTCACATCCGTCGCGGTACGTTTCCCTTGCGTTCACGCGAATGCAAACGAACGATTTCACCGAATACATAACGTCTGCGGGGCAGCGACTACGGTTTGTACAGGATACAAACGACTTCCTCACGAGTGATCGAGGAGAAGCGGTTTTAGCCGGCGCATTGCCCCCTGAATAATTCGTAAAGTTTTTATAAGAGAATCAAACTGCCAATTGCCCGGAAATAGCAGTTCTTCTTGACAGCGCAGTAGCTCTCAATTAATTCAATGTTACTTCTTACAAAAGCATTACGAATTATCAACTATTAGCAATGTGTCGAGTTGTCGGAAATATATTTGTTGCATAGTAAATCTCAACTAGCGAGGAATGTTGGGCGACGCGAAGGTTCAAAAGTCGCGCGTCGTGAGGCTTCGCTTCACGAGTGATTACTTGCACTTTTTTCCCTTTTGTTGAAAAGACCGGATCTAGTTGGCTCAAGGGATATGTCGGCTATATTTATGTATTTGTCGTGAGAGAAACAGTGGAAATAAAGTCGCAAAATGTTCTTCTTTTATTTTTCTCCTTAGAGATACTTCTATCCGAGTCTCATGAAAATCAAAATAATATTACGGTTAAGAAATAGAAAAGAACTGATTTGAGAACAGTGAAGAATATTTTCCAGCGTCTTGAAATTTGATATTAACATTCTCCATTGTTAATTAATAAATTTGGATAGCGTGTTGTCAGTTAAAATAAAGTTTATTATAAATGTATGATATATTGTTTCCGGTAATAAAAGCAATTTTCATTCCGATATTAAGATCCGATTTCATCAACATCGATTGAGCCTTGATCTGAGTTTAAGTCTTTATTTCAAATAATTTAAATGTGGTTTAAGGCTTGATCGACGTTGGTGAAATCGAACCTAAATGACTAAAGTCGAGCATATGGTTGGACAAGATAAAGTGGGCCTATAATTAAAGGCGGCAGCAGAAACTATAGAGATCTCTCGCCAAGTTACCAATCAAAATACATATTTTCTATACGGCGTTCTTACTTTGAGTTGCTAGTCAACTTAACTCTGTAGTAAAGCAAGATGGTCACAGGACAAGATAGTTCGTATATTTCTGTTATTACAAAAAAAATGTACAGTTTATAGGCATCGCTGCGGACATAAACACACATTTGTGTAGTCAATCACAATAATTGCTTGTCTGAAAAGTTGTAACTATGAAATTGAAAGAAAAGTGCTATCTGACACCGATCTCGCTTGTATTCGTTTCTCAGAACTGTTTTTCAGCACTAACAGCAGTTTGTGTAAAATATCAGATTTCTTTCAACTTTTGCGTCGCCTGACGTTCCTTGCAAGTATAAGAGAGCTCTCACGAACCTCTATCCTCCCTTCTTTTTTTTAATACATAAGAGGACGACGCTTCCCGAGTTGTCGTCGAGCTTATCACGTAAACATTTTCTACGTCACCTCGTACGCCATCAGTTCTCGACCCCGTGCCGACGTGTGACAGAAATCAAAATTCCGCGAAGAACGCGGAAGAGCGTGTGTACTTTCGTCTCGCGACTGTGGATGGAATCGTGCGCGCTACCGATGTGAACGCGGTCCCGATGGAAAGGCATTTAGTTAAGCAAATGTCGATGCTAATGCCGGAAGCGCGGGGGTACTTCGCGGTGGATCTGACGCCAGACGTACGAACGGGGAAGAACCGCCGCCACCGCCGCCGTCATCGCCGCCGCCGTCGCCGAGGTCGAGCCCCTTGATAATCCAGGTAATCCGCATCGAGAGAATCCGATTTACGAGAAACGTAAAGGCGAGGAGCGATTGCCTTACGGTACGTTTTACGAGCGGTCGAATCTTGGAAATGCAAGCTACGTGGATGGGATCCAATGGAAAATAAAACGTGACTCGAGTGCTCGATCCGGCAATTTTCCGTATTTCGTAAAATTGCCGCGTGATAATCGGCTGTACGCTCACATACTTTCCAACGCCCTTCCTAATCCCGATGACTTTTCCCGCGATTTTATTGCACGTCACCGAGCCCGCGAGGACGTACCGTGCTCTCTACATTTAGTTTTATTACGTTCGCGGGTTAGGTAGGTGCACAAATCTCGATCTTTGTGCTATAAATTTCAGCAACGATCTATTTTTTTTGCCAGGAAAGGAACTGAAGTAGGTGGTGTTCTAACTTTATGCCAATTCTGATGCAGCAAAATACAGATGCTGAATAAGATATCGACTTCATATTGACATTAACATCACAAATATTTGGCCATTCCGCAAACAGTATCAATTATTGATCGGGCATGTATCAGATAACATTAAGCTAATCAGTTCGAGCAATTACAGAGTCATCAGTATGATATCAAACACGCGTTTCAAACGTGAGTTGAATAAGTAGCGACACAAATTCTCAGTGTACACAAACGTACTTAAATATCTGTGATATGAAGCGCGATTGCAATGCAAACGTTAAGGCTGAGCGAGTTAATTGTATTGTGAAGAACGCGTACAGACATGTGCTAGTTTGAGTCACGATTGAACTCACGACATAGGGAATCAATGGCTGAATGCAATTCGCATTAAGTCGGTTAAAGTAGCTCTATTGTGTGCATAACGCACTTCGATTACGTCCTAATTTTCTATCTTTCCTGATCTGCGTTCTAGTTATCGCAACGTTGACAGAGGCTAATTATCGGAATATTCGACATTTGATATTCGACGTTCGATTTCCGTGCTGGAGATGGTTAAAATTAATCGTCATCAAAACGATCGAGACTTCAAATATGTAAGACTTATGAACGAGAAGGTTAATTGTTATTTCCCTTGTAATTAAATAAACGCAATACAATTTTATCAGTGAATACAAGAAGAGTTGACAAAAATATACTTGCGGGAAGAAAGAGAGAGAGAGAGAGAGAGAGAGTGAGAGTGAGAAAAGTAAATAATATACATACTATATTGTATAAAAAAGATAGATTGCAAAGAAATTTCAAGAGATAAGGGAGACCGGGCCTAGTTGGTCTACGGGGTGTGTTGGTCACGTGTTTTATTCACATATTTATCGTGAAAGGAACAGTGGAAATCACAAAGTATTCCTTTTATTGTAGAACATAGGTATACTTTTCTCTAAGTTTCATTAAAGTAGGAATAATAATACAGTTAAAAAATAGAAAAAAACCGATTCAAAAGCAACCAAGTATATTTGCGAGTGTTTCGAAATTTGGTATTGAGATAATATCTCAATACAAATTCACGGAGAATATCAGTCGTGACTGAATAAACGAAAGTGAGGTGTTATTAGCGAGAATATTTCGAGTAATAAAAATAATTTTTGTTCATAAAATTATTTATTTTTTACTGAAATCGAGCATGCGAACAGACGAAGTAAAGTTGGCTACTATTTAAAGGCTGGCAAGGTTGCGGAAATCTCTTGCGGAGAACTTGGAATTATCAATCAGAATACATATTTCATATGTGGCCTTCTTACCTCCCGAGTTGTTGACCAGCTTAACCCGATACCAGGGCAAGATGGCCATATTACAGCGTATGCAAATCACGGTTATTGCAAAGGAAAATGTGCGGTTTACAGGGTCGTTGCGTGGGCATAAAAACATAAAAAGAGGTTGTCTATATGATGTTTGTAAAGTCAATCGTAATAATTAGTTTTCTGAAAAGTTGTAACTTCGAAATACTGGAGAGTGCCATCTGTGGCCCTGGTCTCCTTTATTTATATTTATAGAAACAGATCAGCACATATGCGGCAGCGTGGTCAATGACAAATTGACACGATAATTTCTCGAAATCATCCAAAAAATAACCAGGAATAATTAAGCGCTCATTGACGCCGCATGTGATCAGGCATCAGCGGGAGGCGCAATTAACGCGGATAAATAACACTAAACGCAGCATGCACGCATAAAAGTTAATCTTGCAATCGCAAATAAACGAGAGTGAAACGGCTGAATAATTGAATCGGAGTCTACCGTACGTGGAAATTTAATACAATAATCGCTGGCGATTATTGCGGACCGCGCATAAATAAGCATTCTATCAATGAAAACAATGGCGGGGTGCGCTTTAAATCTCGACACGGTGGATAGAGCGTCGGTTAGCCCCAAGGAAAATATGCATAACGCGAATAATTCCCCGTTATACGTTTGCAAATTTTACGATCCATTGCATCCGATTGTTTCTGTGTATTCGGCGATCGCAATGATTGCATCGTCTGTTCAAATATTCAACTGTACGTCAAAATACACTGAACTGTGTAAATCGTTTGTTGCAAGAATGTGATTTTAATGGGAAAAGTATTCTCCATAAATTGCGCTAAATACGCGATATTAACTGTCGCACAGTGATATGCCACTCTTTATAGAAAAAATTGCTTTATTAAATAATATTCGAATGTGGAAAGTAATTTCGAAAAATATTCGAAAATATTCGATACTGGAAAATAATTTCAATATCGTGAAAAAAACTTATACGGTCTGTTCATATCCCATTTTTAGTCGAGCAATTATCTGACTGAGCTAGCTTGGTAAATATGTATGTGCAGTCTACATAGGCATTTACTCAGTTATTGTCCAGCATTAATGTATTCTCATCAGTTGTAAGAATACTTTAGAAATTAGTCACGATGAAGTTTTATATTCAGTGGTTGAAACACGATTTACTGTACAATAAGTACATTTTTTCCAATTTTTCTGAAATATAATACCAGTAACATTAATTCAGTTTTATAATATGCACGTATTATAATGTCTATCGTGAATAGAAACTTTAAATATTTTTATTTATATTATTTAAAAAGAGCTTAAAATTGCGTAAATAATGAGTGAACGTATAGACAAGCATAAAGCAAGAAAAAGGAATTAGAAAAACATTTCACAATATTCAATCTTATGACAAAAATGGCAACCAAAGTTAGAAATAAAAATGAACAAAAGATAAATGAAGTATATGTTAATAACACAGAATATCATTACGCGATGAAAAAGAGAGAACACAACAGGCTATTCTAATGGTAATAATACAAATGAAAATTGTCATGACAGTTTTCAAACTCACAAGGGACCTTCCGTCCCTGACGGAAACGGACACGTAAATTAAAAAAAAAAAACTTGAAACTTTGCTAAATTATTTTTGTGAAATCCGTTTTAAGGGTAAAAACAACTCCCAACAAAGAAAACTGGTACTACATACATAAGCGAATATTATCCAAACTATTAGAAATGTGAAGAAACATTTTCAACCAAATTTTCACGGTTTCAATAACACTTTATGTGATATTTTTAGACTTATCGGAAATTTTATATTTTCTTAAATATCCCACCACTTACTGTTTTTAAATATCTGAAATTTATTTTATAAAATTAAAGCTTATTTTATGCCACATTTAACTATATTTATATAATAACCACATTTAATCATATTTAACCATATTTATATAATGAAGTTATATTAAAAAAATGAATTTTTTTTAAATAAATGAAAATATCCTTAAAATAAATGAAAAATATCCTTATCAGTGTTACGCGTTTGCTATTTAACAA